TCTGGGAGTTGAAGTCCACTCATCTTAAAGTGGCCAAGTTTGGACAACACTGAGTTAGACCCTCTAAAATCTACTCGCTTTAGTTAGGACTGATGTAGTTATTTTCTGCAGTCTAAATTTTGCACAGCTCAGATGAATTCACCATCTTAGTTGGAAAAAGATCCAAGAGACCTATAATTCTCTTAAACGTCAGATCCAGTGTGCCAACTATGGACCTCAGCCAAAGATATGCAGTAAATCAACAAGAAAAGACTTTTACTTCATGGAGGAGACTTTCACTCTAGGTTTTGCGAAGGAAGTTTAACCAGAACAACGCTTTTAAGTTATTTCAATCTTACAATATATAAATATTTTACCTTTAAATCACGATGCACCACACCCATCTGATGACAGTGCAAGACAGCTTCCAAGATCTGCTGAATACAGTGGCTAGGAAGAAGAAACATTGTCACATTTATTTGACACTATGGGAGATGACCTGCAATAAAGTTTCTTGGTGATCTCCATTTCATGTTTCAACCCTTCTCTACTTCCTATCTTCCCATGTGCCTTTCTGCTGCGAGTCAAGCAGAATAGGCTTTCATTACAATCTTAGCTTACTTAAAAAAGAGAAATCTGATTTTCTACTGAAATACAGAATCATTAGAGTTACTCAGGTTTCTGTGAGAAATAAAAAAAGAACCTAGAGGGCTTCTTTATGAGGTGATAGCAAGAACAACCTGATCATTTTCTCACATAAACAATGACTTCAGATGGGATGGCAATCCCACCAGGGCTACCATAACTGGGCTGCAAAACTCCAGATAGCAATGAGATAGCAGCAAGGAGGTCCAGAAACTGCTATTTGATGCCATTTAGTGTTCATTAATATTTGGCAGACTTGATGCGGTAGCCATAAGAACCATTTTGTTCATTTTGGTAGATCTCACCAGGGTAGCTAGATGAAAAATACGTATCATGCAGGAAACACAAAGACACAGGTGTCAGAACAGACAGAACAATCATCTGTAAAATGAAATGACTCAATTCACAGATGCTAAAATGCAACTGGTTTTCAATTTCAAGCCTAAGCAAATTTGTATGCATTGAACTGGATATCTTTTGTCTTCTGCATGGAGATCTCATGGATTATCTTCTCTGTGTTAGATACAGACATCCTCTTGAATTTGCTTTACAAATTGGAGGAAATATTTACCCCACAAAGGCTAAATACCTGCCCAAGTCAGTATTACATTAAATTTTAAATGATTACATTTAAATTGGAAATTCAGATACAAATTAAGTACCATAAACATGCAATTAACTGAAGAGAATAGGAAATTCATTATTTGTGAGATTGAAAGGCATCAATTATTTTTGATTATCTACATCAAGGAGAGCAGATCTTTGACTTAGAGAATCTTTCATGAGAATACTGAGGTCCACCAATCTCAGCTGCAAGATAGTTATCTAAGAAATCACACATATGGTGGGTCCACAAATTATGCCAAGCATAATTTAGCTTCATGGGGTTCAGCTTAGCATGTTGTGTAAACTTGAGCTATTTTCTATAAATCATACTTTATGATGAATATGTTGTGTGCACTCAGTCATTTAATAAACCATAGCACAACATGATGTATGAACCCCTGTATAATATTGACTGCAAGACATGGGTCCTTGCCAATCTCCTGCAAGCTATCTGAATCTTCATCAAGCCTTGGCCCACCTGTAATAAAAACAATATTTTTCTCTTGTTTCAGTGAAGTCAAGCTTGGAGATACAGTATACAGCATCACAGATTGCTCCTATTCTAAAAGGAAAAATTTAATAAAACTCTACTACACTAATAGTTCAAATATAGTTCTAACAGAGGGAACAGGCAGATCTAACAGAGCAATATAAGTTCTCAAAATTTCAAGTTTAGAACTTGGGCACAAGTTTTCCTAGACAAGTGTTTCTCAATTTTGGCAACTTTAAGATATGTGGACTTCAACTCCCCAAATTTCCAAAACTGCATGCCGACCGTGGAATTCTGAGAGTTGAAGTCCACGTATCTTAAAGGTGCCAAAATGGAGAAACACTGTCCTAGATAGCTGGTGTGGGTCTTCCGGGCTGTGTGGCCGTGTTCT